TTAATCTTTGCAAATACACCTTGGGCTACTCCCTAGCCATAGAGTACTGTTTAGGGGCTACCTGTAGGCTAGAGGCTCGGGTTGGTATGATGTGGGATCTACTCACCATAAGGTCTTTATCAAATGCTGGACAAGGCAGAGGAGATGGGACAATTTAGCCATATGGTCAAAGGTCCGTGAAACTTAACCTTGGCGTGTTCTGATTTACAAACCCTCAGATGCCTACGTGGCCTCATTCCTGCAAATGTTCTTTATCCCTCTGCTAATAGGATATAAGAGGAACAAGGCAATAAAAGATAAACTTCATGGTCTAGGTGTTTTCGATGAACCATTTGGAGCCCAACATTTAAGTTGGGGAAGTGATCATATGAGGAACTCAATGAGGAAATACACACAGTGCTCTGAATTCAGGTTTGGGCAAGTGCAGCATCTCTTTGTTACGTATGAAAATATCATGGGCATCCACCAAAAATCAAGAATTCATAGCATATCCACACCCCCTAGTTCTCACTGCAGACCAGTTAAGTCAAGCCTCTGGGAAGGGAGCCCAGACATTGGCCTTGGAGAAATCTGAATACAGTGAGCATAAAAGTTGACACTCATGGATGCATTTCTTCAATTCCCATCTGTGCTTTGAGTCTGGGGGCCTGCCACTGTGTGAGGCAGGGGGAGCTGTTTAAATGCATATTTGCTAGGAATCAGCTACCAGTTGACCCTCTGGCATCCACAGGAGGCAAAGCAGGAGCTTCATCGTCTGAATCGTGAGCAGATGCCCACCATGTGGCATGTCCCGGGGCTCACGGCTGCGGCCACCACTCACTTTGGCTTTTGACAGTTTGGTCTTGGACTCTACATCTAATTAGCCCCCTACTTTCTACTATTACAGATGACAGCTGGGCCTTCAATTTGCAAAAATGTCTAGCCAAAAATGCCCTTACATGGAAAGAGCTGACTTTCTCGACAGAAGCCACTGAGAAACCTTGTGATCATCTTGTAATAAATGTTCCGAAATATGAATATTTGTATGTTCCTCATGCAGTTCTCATAGGGTTTTGGTTTGTTTTACCTAAGTGAGAAAACTGTAGTACAGCAATATATAATGACCCCATTTTTATAAAAACTAAGATTACTCAGGCTTTAAAAAGATCTAAATCTTAGCGTTTTCATAGAGAAATGCATAGAGTGAAACACACTGGTGGTTAACACTGGTGTCTTGAGGTGGTGGTGGGGAGCCAGAGAGATGGGAGAGGGCTGGTTAATTAAAATTGTTTGAATTGTATTAATCACAAAGAACATGTTAATTTTGTGCTTTTAGAAAAGGGATTTCAAACAAATTTAAAAATACATAATCAGAGACTTTTTAATCCTTTTTTACTCAATGTAAAACTTAAAACTTAAATGGAAGGAGGGCTTCTTGAAGAAAAAGGTGATGGAATCTTGCTCACTCATGTCACTGCAAAACCAGTAGTGTTCATTCCTTCAGTGGATGTTAAGTAGCCACTACCATGTCCCAGGTACTGGCTGGTGTTGTTCCAGGTACTGGTGCAGCAGCTAATGGGGAAAAGTCTCTGCCTTCTCTTCTGGAAGAGACAGATATTAACAAAATGTTGTATAAGCCTGGTGGTGAGCAGTGATGACAGAGAGAGCTGTAGCAGCTTATAGGGGTGGGACTGGGGATGGGATCAGTCAGGGCAGACCTCACTGAAAAGGCAACACTTGGGCAGAAATTTGAATCAAGCAAAGGAGGGAGCCATGAAAAGATGGGGGCAGAAAGAATTAAGTTCCGGACAAAGAGAGTGACATGTTCAAAGAATAGCCAGAAGGCAGAGTGGCCCAGGACGAGGGAGGGAGGGAGAGGAGGTCAGGGAGCTAGTCATGGCCCAGATGACACAGGTCTTATTGGCTGGTGGCAAGGACTTGGGCTTTTGTTCTGAATGTGATGGCAATCAGTCACAGTGGTCAGGTTTGTGAGTGGAGCAACTGGCAATCTGATATGCTGTGTAGAAGGATCACTTTGCATATTGTATGAACAGACTATTGGGGAACAAAAGTAGAAGTTAGGGGTCAAGTAGGTGACTGTTTCATTAGTCCAGACAAAAGAATTTAGGAGAACATTGATCTCTAACTTTCTGGCAAATAGTCTGTATGACTTGGTACCTTTCCTTTGTTCCTCTTGGGCCTGAGGAAGAAAAATCCAAAGGGAATCAATCCCCTGTGAGGTCATTGGTGTGGATTGATTGAAGGTATTGCAACCTAAATAGATTTCCTAAGAGTCTGAGCCACTTGATCACACAATTGATTCTTGCTTTCTGGACCTGCTCACGTCCTGTCTCAAATGTATTGCCTCTGTGGTACCACGGCATGCTGCTGAATTTATGACTTGCTATTTTAGCAAACACAAAGCTGTTAAGGGACTCTCGGTTGTATTGTTAGTGGCATCCAGTCCTCAGGCCCATGGTCTCCACTGGGGCCTATTAACTGAGCTCTTCTTTGAGAGGGGAGTAAGTTCTCTGCTGTCAGGGCCTGCCCCTACTCTAGAATGCCCAGAATTTGTACTGTAGGTTTCCTCTTGGGGCTTGCCAGAGACTACATAGCAACTTGATCAGCCACAAATATCTTCCATACGGTCATACCTGCTGAATCATACAACCCAAGGGAATAGAGCACTTATACCACAGCTTGGATCTGCTGCCGAGCTTTTTTTTGAATGAGACGCTGCAAGAAACTGTAGCCTTGAGTTATCTGATTAGTAAGTGGGAGCAGTTTTCTAAAGTCCAGCATATATTGCCCCCCAAATTCCAGGAGCCCTACTAAATGCTATGCCTTTTGATTAGTGGTAGGAGGTATAAGGTACAATAATTTGTCTTTTACTTTAGAGGGAGTGCCCCAGGCCATTGAATCCCTGGAAACTTCACTGATGTGACAGGTGCCTGATGTCAGGTTTGTGGCTGGCCCTCTGGTATGCACCTGTCTTATCAGAGCATCTTGGGTTCTTGTCACTGCTTATCAAGTTCAATTCGCAAGTTGTCAATATAGTGAGTCAGCATGATTGTACTGTAGGCAGTCAGGGTGATTAAGTTCTTTAGAGACTATACTTTGGAGGAGACTGGGAGTGCGTGAACACAGCCCCGAGGTAAGGAAAGGATTGTGGACTATTTGCCTGGTAGAGTAAAGGTGATCTTTGTACACTAGGGTATGACTTTCTTTGGCAGGAACATGATTCTGCCTTTCACAATCCTAATTCAGAGACTTCCTGCTATGAACATTCCATAGAACAGGACTCTACTAGCAAATATTATGAATCTGTCTACTTGGAACATGAACATCAACATGATTACAAGCAGATTAGTCTGGGTCATTTGTCTTCTTTCCTTTCAGAAATAGAAAATGGCCTACTGCTTTAACTCCTTCCTTCCCAGATTGATTGGCCTTATAGTAGAGGAACCAGAAACTGGGGGACTTAGTTGTTATCTGTGATATCACACTTACTTACTTCTATTCTCTATGACTTATTAACCTATCTGTAAGCTCTCTCTCCATGCATCCACCCATCCACTCATCCATTCACTCATGCACCCATCCATCTACCCTTCACCTATCCACACACTTACCCATCCATCCATCTAGCCAGCTAGTCACCCCTTCATCCATGCATCTACATAAATTCATTCTTATAAATTAGTTAGGATAATGTACAAAGATTTTAGTGTAAATATTAAGCAAAAATTATCCATAAAACTAAGTAAAACCTGTCTTTAGGAGAGAGAGGCTATAAGCCAGGGACAAGGGGTAAAAAGCCCCAGTCTTGGAGGGACGGGGAAAGTCAGGACCTGAACCTCATGGAGGGGATGAAAGAAGTCATTTAAGGAGAGGCACTCACCTGAGAGTTCTGTGCTTGGCTATGTTCCCGTGGGCATGGAAAACTCTCACCATCTGGGAGTCTCCATCTTAAACTGGGCTTTGTTTTCTTTTCTCTTTCCTCATCTCTTCTTTATTATTGCTATTCTTTACCAGGTAAATGCGGATGTAGGTTGGATGAATAAATCTACCTTGTTAAACACCTTTCCTCATTTTATTTTTGCTCTTGCCAATTTTCTTTGGGAAAACTATTTATTAAAAAGGAAATAACTAAGAACTTCAGTAAGGCACTTTAAAATTAAAACTTCGTATACTAATTCCAAGCTCCCTTAAAAATTAATTTTATTTATGGAATATTTCAAACATGCTGAAAAGTCAAAAGAAAGAATGTATATATCATATACCCATCACTGAGACTCAACAGATGTCAAACTGTTGATGTATTTACCTGAATTTTCTCTTTCCTCTTCTGTTTTTTACTTTGTGGGAGAAAAACATTACAAATGGATCAAAACCTCACCTTCCTTTCCTGTCTTCCTCAGACTTCAGGAGTGTGTTTTAATCTTCCCCAAGCATGTATTTATGCTTTTATTATACATTTATGCATTTGTGAATACTGTATTTTGCTACTTGCTTTCTGAATCTCGCATCATCTTTTTCAGGTCGGTTCATGTTGACTCATGAGCTGTGTTTTTAATTTTAATAGTTATTTAGAATTTCATTGCACACTTGAATTAGTTTATCTATTTTCTGGTTTATGGACAGTTAGATTTTTCCAGTTTTTCTATTATAAGCTATAGGGTAATGAACATAAAGAACTCAATGTTTCTTTGAGATTATTTGTGACATCTTTCTAGGGTAGGTAATAGGAAATTTCTGATCATTGTGGGTCATTATCTATCTATCTATCTATCTATCTATCTATCTATCTATCTATTTATCTATCTATCTATCATTTATCAATTTTCACCTATCATCTATCTACCTACCTACCTACTACCTATACACATCTTCAACTTTGCTAGATATTATCCAGTTTCTCTTCGAAGAGATTCAACCAATTTACGCTCTACCCACAGTATAAAAGAATGGCTCTATGGATCTGGCAAGTAGATTGTACCAAACCAGATACAATGGTGAAAGAGGCCATACTTGCCACTGGCCACTGTTTGAAGAATTCCAATTTTTTTGGCACCCCCACTTCTGAGTTGCTCAAAACACTCTGGGCATGACCAAATGCTATGCCTCTTAAAAAATTTCCTACCTTCTCAAGCATCAGTTTAGGTTTATTAGGTATTTTAAATATTTTGCTATTCTGATGGTATAAATTGCATTTGATGTTGCCAGTGTCACTTATTTTAATAGCTCTATGGAATTTCCAATGAATAGAATTTCTCTGATTATTAATGAGGTTAATCAGTGTTCTATACATTCATTGTCCATTTGGTTGTTGTCTTCTATGATTTGCCAGTTCTTATCAATTATACATTTTTCCCATGGATTGTCTTTCTTCATAAATTTTAATTTGTGAGACATATTAATTCTTCTTGGAGTCTGTGACTTGCCTTTTTACTTTGTTGTGACTTTTTTCATAAAGTTTTATATTTTAATTAATTTAAATTAATTTAAGTTAATACTTTGTCGTTCAGCTTTGGATTTTTGGGTCCTGTTCAAGAAATTATATCCTGAAGTCATAAAGATAGTGTCCAAAATTTTAGAGATTTGTTCCTTACACTTATGAATTACTTTTTATATATGAGCTGGAGACCTACTTTTGTGTTTTGTTATGTGGATTACTGAAGTTTTCAGCACCACTTACTGAATCGTGTATTTTTTCCCCATTTGATTTGTAATATCTGCTCTGTCAGGTACTGGCTCCGGTACGCATATGGGCTCCCAGAGCCAGTGTCACATTGCTTAAATTATTATAGTCTCATAGTAAGTCGATATCTATAAAAGGAACCCTCATTTATTCTTTTCCTTCAAAACCAGTTTGGCCATTTTTGGCCTAGTGAGTGAGTTTGAGGATCGATTTTTCAAGTTCCTTAAAAAGCTCTGCTGACATTTTGATTGAAATTATACTGAGTACAATGAATAGATTTTCTAGTATTAGATGATCTTTAGGGTCCTGGTACAATCCTTGTTTCACCGTGTCGTATTGTATTTGCCTGATTTTGGTTTTATGGTAGTAAAAGTCTCATTATATGAGTTGCAGAGATTTTCCTCTTTATTGTCGACAACAGGGATTGATGAACTATGGCCTGCTCACTGAATTTAGTCCATTGCCTGTTTTTGTAAGTAAAGTTCTGTTGGAACCCAGCTTTGCCCATTTGTCTAGGTATTGCCTGTGGCTGCTCTTGTGTGACATCACAGTTCCAGCAAAGATTGGGTGGCCTGTATTTGAAAGTAGAAAAAGTGAGTAAATCCAAAATAAGTAGGAGGAAGGAAATAATAAAACCCAAAGTAAAAATTGATGAAATAAAAAGAGGAGAAAATAGAGAACACCAAGAGAACCAAAAGCTAATTCTTGAAACTTATTAATGAAAAAGATAAACTTCTAGTAAGATTAATCACAAAAATCATGGGAAAAATAAACATCATGAAGAATGGAACAGGGCACATAAAAAGGAATGCTACATTCAGGGATATAAAAATCACAATAGAATGTAAACAACGGCAGTCTAATCAAATTTGAAAAGTTGGATGAAATTCATGTTTTATTTAAGAGGTAAAATTACTCAAAGTACTTGTTTTGACTCAAGAATGAATATGAAATGCAGGAGATATATAACCATTAAGGAAATTGAAACTATAGTTAAGGTTATATACTTAACACACACACACACAAAGACACACACACACACATTTACTAGGACCAGATGATTTTATAAGCAAGCTCTTCCAAATTCCAGGAACAGTCTTAGAATGTGTTTTAGACTAGAGGTTGACAAATTAAGGGTATTTTTACCCAATTACTCTTTGAAAATTTCTTATTATTAATTTCTAAGCTCGAACCTTCTTGGGCTATACTGACAGTATAAATTAACTCCAAGACTAGGAGGCTTTTCATGGCTTATAAATCCCCGTGGAGCCCTCCCTCCCTATATCCCTCCAAAATCCAGGTGGAGACAAAGTTTCTTGTCATCAGCCTGTGACAGTAAGTAGATTATTTTAAGCTCACTTTTCGCCAAGGTGCAATTTTTTTATAAATTTGTTTCTAACACTGTCTTGTTTAGGTTCAGGGCCTCATCTCTCATCTGGGACAAATCAGAGCCAAAGCCCTTAGTTGCTGGGACATTCATCTTTCCATCCTGTGCAAGACATCTGCTACATCAGCTCAGAGATACTAACAATGGTGATTTTAGTCTTTCTTCAGTTTTGGAAACTAGGAAATCACTGTTATGGGCTGAATTTTGTCCTCTCTCACAACCCCCCAAATTCGTATGTTGAAGTCCCAGCCCTCTAGTCTGTAGACAGTGATTGCATGCGGAGATAGGGTTTTGAAACAGGTAATTAAGTTAAAATGAGGTCATGTGGTGGGCCCTAACCCAGTATGGCCAGTGTCCTTATAAGAAGAGGAAATTTGGACATAGACAAGTAAGAGAAAAGACCATGTGTGGAGCCAGTGACATGCACAGGCAAGGAGAGAGGCACGGAAGGAACCAGCCCCACCACACCTCGGTCCGGACTGCACCCTCTGGAACTGTGAGGACGCAGCTTTCTGCTGCTTAAGCCCCCCATCTCTGACACTGTGGTGGCAATCCTTGCCAACAAGTACACTCACTTTTTCTTATGAGCTCAACTTTGCATTTAAAACAATATTTGTTATATTCTACTTAGTACCTTGTAGCTGGGGGGTTTTCAGATTAGCTAGAAAACATTGTGGGAACACACGTCCCAGGCTCATTTTAGTTTCAGACTGTGACTTCTGGGTTCTGCCAATCTTTATTAAAGGTGTCCCCTGTGTCTAACAGAAAACACTCGGCCAAAGGTCAAGAGGTTATAATCTCAGCTTTCCATTAACTAGCTGCAAACTGGCTAATTACTGCCTCTCAGCTCCAGGGCTCCCATCTGTGAAAGGGAAGCCAGACGGTTCTAAATCTTCACCTCTTCAGACCCTGAGGAGCTGCTAAGGGGCCAGCGAGGCGGCCAAGGGGTGAGTTCTTTGCTCTCAGCTCTTGTGAGTGTTTTGCCTTTGCGTCCTGACAACTGTCTCCTGTGAACAAAGCGTGTGGGACTAGCACAAGCTTAAACACAACTTTAAAAGGTAAAATCTCAAGTTCCTGGAGCATCATTGTAGCCCTATTTTCTAGCAGCGGCCTGAGGCTCGGCAACCACTTTCCACGCAGCCCAACATACCTAGACAAGGCGGAGGGAACCAAGCCCTGGGGGTCAGGGGATTCTCCTGGGTCTTCCCAGGAGTCACTGACGGACCCTGACATGAGAGTGTGGGCACCTGAGTCCTGACCCTCTCTTAGCCAGCCAGCGCTCCGTGGCAGGACAGTGTGCATCTCTGATGGAGGGTGTTGTCTGCATAACATCTGTAGACATAACACCCTGGGACTTGTTCAGAGCTTTCCTGAGAACTGAGGAGAGAATGACATTGATTCACTTACTGCCTGCCTTTTCATCTTTCTGCTTTCCTCCCATTCTCCTACACTTGTGTCAGCTGCCAGGGCACCTGTCAACGACCTCACAGGTTGCTGCGGGAAAGGGGTGTCGGGCCCCACTTGGGGACAGGAAGCTGCACCATCATGCTCTGGACCGTCACTGTCAGAGAAGCCATGGTCCATGCATTTCTTGGACCACATCTGCAGCCATAACTTCTGAAAACGACGTTTCCCACAGCCCAGCACCCAGTCCGTAGCCCTTTTGTGTCCTGGAGCCCTAGGAGACCCCGTGGGTCTGGCTGCAGAGTCTGGCTGCAGACAGCAAAGGCTTCCCCCTGTAGATTCCCTTGGGGCAGCCTTTTTGCTGTTGTACAGTGTTCAAAAACAACAAACAAGCAGACATTTCACGGATCATTTTTGGGTTGGAACATTTTTTTTGTTCAAATATCGGTCTCTCCCCTTTCATACCAGCTTTGATTCTTCTTTAATTATTGTCCTCCTCCCCAAACCAGCAGCACCTAATTGCATTGGGGATTTTTCTGCTGCTGAGTTCCATGTCATATTTGCTTCTCTGTCATTTTCAATACTACGGGGGAATGTCCCCTGGTATGTCTCTTATGCATGGAGCCTGCCTCTCAGTATCATAGGAGCAGATCTGTCAAAGGGTCTTGCCTGACTTATTTGTTCCAGAGGAATTCATGTATTTGCTGTGAAGTTTGCCTTCAGTTAGACTGTGGTAACCGTTACTTCATACCTCATCTCTACTCATCACATCACTTTTTAAGTACTTTCCCTCTTATTTTTAACTCAAATTAATTTTAATAATATTTGAAATATCATACATTTATTCCCAACCACTTATTTTTTATTTTTTATTATTTTTATTTTGGCATCATTAATCTACAATTACATGAAGAACATTATGTTTACTAGGCTCCCCCCTTCACCAAGTCCTCCCTACATATCCCTTCACAGTCACTGTTCATCAACTTAGTAAGATGCTGTAAAATCGCTAGTCTTCTCTGTGTTGTACAGCCTTCCCTGTGCCCCCCACACACTACACATGCTAATCGTAATGCCCCCTTTCTTTTTCCCCACCCTTGTCCCTCCCTTCCCACCCATCCTCCCCAGGCCCTTTCCCTTTGGTAACTCTTAGTCCTTTCTTGGGTTCTGTGATTCTGCTGCTGTTTTGTTCCTTCAGTTTTCCTTTGTTCTTATGAGTGAAATCATTTGGTACTTGTCTTTCTCCGCCTGGCTTATTTCACTGAGCATAATACCCTCTAGCTCCATCCATGTTGTTGCAAATGGTAGGATCTGTGTTTTTCTTATGGCTGAGTAATATTCCATTGTGTGTATGTACTACATCTTCTTTATCCATTCATCTACTGATGGACATTTAGGTTGCTTCTATATCTTGGCTATTGTAAATAGTGCAGCGATAAACATAGGGGTGCATCTGTCTTTTTCAAACTGGAGTGCTGCATTCTTAGGGTAAATTCCTAGAATTGAATTCCTGGGTCAAATGGTATTTCTATTTTGAGCATTTTGAGGAACCTTCTTACTGCTTTCCACAGTGGTTGAACTAATTTACATTCCCACCAGCAGTGTAGGAGGGTTACCCTTTCTCCACAACCTCTCCAACATTTGTTGTTGATTGTCTTTTCGATGATGGCAATCCTTACTGGTGTGAGGTGATAGATCTCACTGTGGTTTTAATTTGCATTTCTCTGATGACAAGTGATGTGGAGCATCTTTCCAAGCACTTTTTGAAGAATCTCTTATGGAGTCACATAAGTTTGGAACTAGACATAACATTAACAGTCAGTCTTTATGGGGTATTTCTTACTGTATTTAGTAAAAGCACCTGAATTTCTATTTTGGGACCCATCTTGTCCCAACTCTCAGCCCAGGTGGTTTGGGGGAAGTAGACTCTCCTTCCATGGCTCAAGGTGGGGGTTCAATGCAGAATTCAGACCTGGCCATTAGCATTTTCTATCTCTCTGGCTTCATTGACTGGCTTAAGGATGGGCTCAACACTTTTAAGTGTTAATAGATTTCTTTTGTCCTTGAACTTGAGGGTTGAAGTCCCTAGGAAGCTGGAGGTTTGAAGCTGCTATTTGACAGTGAAGCCACTGCGGAGTAGAGGGGGGCTGTGGATTGGAGACAGCAGGTCCAGTTAAGACATCAAGCTGCACCTAGAGCCATTTGCACTCCAGGACATTTTAGTCTCACTAGGCAAGAAACCACTCTCCTCCCTCCCTAACACACAATCACATATTCACATGCAAACACACGTGCATACAGACACGCTCATGACACACTATGGTTTTTTTCAATTTGATTTGGCTTTTACTCTACCTACAACTAAACATTCTAATCCCTTCATTTGACAGACAGGGAAACTCAGACCTAGGGACTGAAAATGACTTAGCCAAGATCATTCAAGTGAGTAGATGGATCATGGAGCCCAGACCAGGACCCAGGCCCTGAATCCGGATGTGCATTTTCACCATGGTCTTAGATGAGGGCCTGTCTACATGATTTTGGAAGGTAAAAGTGGCCCCCTTCGTATTTGGTAGCTCTGGCTGGGGAATGGTCACATAGGTTAAATACAGGGTTGGGTAGCATTACACTATTGGAGTAAAATTGACCATTAGAAGGTTGAAATTGAAAAACTATTTTAGAATAAGTAAATAGCTATCAAGATAAGGCAGGTATGTACTAAAATCAGTGCCACTAATACAAAGATAGTAGAAAAATGCATACATAGTTAACTTCAACAGATCAAGCTACAACACAGAGTAAGCATCTTGTTCTTAGCCCAGTGGAACACAAACATAATGTTCCTTACACACATTTGGAAGAAAACCAACTAGTATTATGGTTATCATCAAAAAAATGCTGCCAGGCTATCCAAATTTGATCACAGAATCAGGAGCTCTGAGGAACAGTCCCCCTACCCCACTGCTCTTGCCCCACCAACCACCCCACACATGGGATAGAACAGATTATTTTCACATGGACTGAAAGCCTGAATAGACTCAGATGAGGGAATAAAGAAAGCGTGGAGTTGATTCTATTTAAACATGTAAAACTATGCATGTGTTTTGAAGAACCTCTCTGGATATGACCAAACCTGTTGCTGTCAGTATAAATCAAATCAACACTGCAGATTTGACTTCCTTTGCCCAGGCCCTTTCTAACACCTGCAAAGTAGGGATGGAGGCTCAATACCATATTTTAACGATTTAGAAATTTAGTAGTACTCAGGTTTAATATTATTGCCAGACTCTCAGGATTTCTATGCTGGAAGGGGTCCAGGTAATAGATTAACAAGGCCCTAATCTACGGCCCCTTTTCCTTGGCATTTAGCATCCCCACTGCACTGCCCAGCTCACGGCACAGGCCCTGGGTCATCTTGTCTCCTGCCCTGTTTCATGTTGTTTCACACGCACAGATGGATACCAATATGTGTGTCTAAGCTCTATCCACAAACCCCTGAAAAAGCCCCTTGGGCCTAGAGGTAGATCTGTTGGAGGCGTGGTTTCTCCTTAGATGGATAGACCAAAGAAGAGTCAGTCCATGGAAGGAGGCTCAGGGAGAAATATCTCTGGGTCCAGGGTAAGAGGAACATGATCTTGAAGGGAGGCGGCACAGGGCCTGGGGCCTCTAAGCCCTGAGGAGGCGCCGGGCTAGGGCACAGTGTCCCGCTTGCCTGGGCCTTGGCTGATGCTGCTTTGCCTCCCCTTCCCCTCCACTCCAAGCATTGCATTTCTTGTTTTGTTTCATCTTTATTAGCCTAGTTTCTTTTCTTCCATATTTATCCTTATAATATCCTTATAATAGTTTGTGAGACCTGCTTCTTAGACAGGGAGACAGGCAGCCCTCAGCAGGGCCTGTGAGCTGCGCTGGCATCGTGCCAATGCTGAGAGCGTGCTGTTGGAATCAGACCTCTCTCCTGGTTTTCAGGGCCATCACAGAGGGAGAAAGGGGACTGGGAAATGGTTATGACTCTGAGCCTCTTCCTTTTCCAAGCTAGGTGTGTGTGGTTAAACCGGTGGGCTGCACAGCATTCCCCAGGGCCTCCTCACTCTATTTGTACCCCATGCAACTACCCTGACCACTGACCTCCTTTGGCTGCTTCATCCTCACATTTGACCTCATCCCTCTCCCCCCAGCCTGCCTCCCACCTCTGCACTTTCTGTGGCCTTTGCCTTTCTTTTGGTGACTTTTGGAATCCCCCTGTTCATAGCAGTAGCTGTGGTGTCTGGGCTTTGTGCTCTTCTGCACTGTTTCTTCCCCTTATTATAGGCAGAGATGTCCCTGGACATCATGCTGCAGCCCCCTCCCCACCAGCTCTGGACAGCCTGACCCAGGGCCACTAGTTCCAACCAGCGTTTAGCTTGGCTCAGTCTTCTCGTTGGAGCTAAAATGTGGATTTACAGGTCTAGACATGTACATATCCATGTAGAAAGGAATGTTAGAAGTCATCTCTATAATTATTTAAGCATCTTTTGGCCCAAATTTCATATTTTAAGGAACAGAAATCTGAGCCCCATTGAGGTCACATGCAAGGTCACTCAGTCCCCCAGGGACACGGCTGGGAACTTGCACTCAGGCCTTCCGACCTGTCTTCCACATTCCTTCCCATCCCCCATGGTAACTCCCACCATCACTTAAAAGGTTTTCCCTATTTCTGCCAACCTGTAACTACTGGGACTAATAAAATGTAAGAAAGTCCACTCCAAGCATTGCATTTCTTGTTTTGTTTCATCTTTATTAGCCTAGTTTCTTTTCTTCCATGTTTATCCTTATAATATCCTTATAATATGCATATAAAATAGATCTGTGACTTGGTTCATATTAGATTCTCCTTGATCTTTGCCATTTTAATTATTATATGTCTTGGTGTTGTCCTCCTTGGGTCCCTTGTGTTGGGAGATCTGTGCACCTCCATGGCCTGTATTTGCACCTCCTTCTTTGTATTCCTTTTCCCTAATTTCTATTTCATTTATTGTCTCCACCATATCTAATCTGCTTTTAATACCCCGGTTTTTAATCCAGAGGGATGGAGCACCCTAAGATCGTTAAAGCTCCCAACCTGCTGGGCCGAATGCACCCAGACAATTTTGTCTACCTGTCCTTTCTCCTGAGCAGCAAGCTCTGTGCAATCCTTGCCCCTTTAGCAGCCCTCTCGCTGTTAGGAAGTCTCTCAGACCGCCCGCCCAGATCAACTGGATATGAATTCCTGTTTTCCAGAAGCAGCTGGAATCTGTCTTTGCAGATATTCTTCCTGTCTTAGCTTTCCAACCCCACTACTCACCAGAGCACCATGCAATGTAGGTTTGTGTTCCCAGAGCAGATCTCCAGGACTAGGTGTTCAGCAGTCCCAGGCCTCCACCCGCTCCCCGCTCTGTTTCTCTTCCTCCCGTGGTGCGCTGGGGTCGGGGAAGGGCTTGGATCCCACTGGGTCACACCTTTGGTATGTTACCCTGTTCCATGAGGCCTGCTCTTTTCTCCAGGTTTATGCAGTGTGGTGCAGCCTTCTTTCCTGTTGTTCTTTCAGGATTAGTTGTATTTATTATATTTTCGTATTATATGTGGTTTTAGGAGGGGATTTCTGTCTCACCTCTCATGCTGCCATCTTTAATCCCATAAACTCCATATTAGATTCTCTTGCCTCTTAATTTTAACCTTATGAGAAGATAAAAAGATAACGTGAATTTCAGAAGCCTATCTGATACATTATTAAAGAGGGGTTCTTAAGGGCCTAGGAATAAGTACAGCTAATAATATCAGTGAGAAAGCCTACTTCTTACCAGGCATTATACTTTGCATTTTTTTATCACAGAGCCCTGAGTATGACCAGAGGATGTGTAAGCTGTTTGCTCCCTATTGGCCTCAGAAAGTGAGAACATGATGATAAAAGGAATAGGTATTCATTCTCCCAGTTCATTCAGTAGCAGGTTAATTAATCACATACTAAAGCCATATAAGGTCAAGGATATTTTTCATGTTCCTTTACCCAACACTGCAACACATACACACACACATATACACAAACTGATAAAGTGACTTAAAATCTTTTTCTTACTAATGAGACCATCTTGGCAAAGAATCATGTGTTCCAGGACTGAAAGCAATGCATAACACATAGATAATAGTTTCTAGCGTAAAGCATAATTCAGTTCATGTGTGTGTGTGTGTACATTGCAATGTTGGGAAGGGTACACAATTTAATATGTAATTTATTTAAATAAACCAATTAAATTAGAAAATTATTTTTTCTTTGCCTCTTCGGTGACTTAGTAGTTGTCCTTATTCTGTGAACTTGATCAGATTTGTTTTTACCCTCATGGGACTGCTTCAGTTATGTATATCTGTCTCCTTTTCAGATACTTAGGTAAACTCATTAGTGAGGCAGTCAGTGTGGAGAGAATTAATGTTATTTCCAAATTTAGGTAGAATGAGAATGGAAGAATTAAGGCAGGCTAATTTTTTCTTTTACTATTTGTATAATTCTGGGATAATGGGTAGGAAGAATCTTTACTGCTCTATATCTCACTTCAAAGTTTCTTGTTGACATTTGTTCATCATGTGTGTCTTTGCAGAATTTGATTAAATATTGGAAACCTGAATGGGTATCCAGTCTATTCTTGATGTAACATGTTTAATAGTCTATCTTTATTCTTTGCTGCCCTCACCAAAGGGGATCCTGACATGTACTGAGCACCTGTGCTTTACATACATTATTTAATCCAGTTATGGCAATGACCCCATGGAGAGTGTGTGTGGGTGTGGGTGTATGCCATCATTACCCCATTTTAGAGATGTGAAAACTTTAATTTAATTGGCCCAAGTAAGCTGTGTTGGGTCATAGAACTAAAGGGTGATGGACTGAGGACTGGTACTGGTCTCACTGCTAAGCACATGCTTCAGGCATCAAATAATGCCGCCTCCCTAAAAGGCCGAGGTGAGCGATACTATCAGTTAATGGCCTAATAACGCTCTTAATTCATTTTGCTCCTCTTCCATACTCATTTAACTTCACTAGAATCCTCTATTTAGCCTCCACTGGAAAAGAGAAAAAAACTGGACATAAATTAGGTGTAATGTTTCCTTTCCATAGAGCATTCATGCTCCTGGAAATGTTCTTTAAACCAAAAAGTTTTCAGTGAAGCCCAGCTTCTAGAACCTTTCTGAAAGCTGCATCCTAGAAAAGAGCTAACCATTACACAAGACTCCATCATACATCCTCAGACAGAGGTTCTTAACTGCCTGGCAATAAATACAGCTAACAATATCAGTGAGGAAGCCTACTTCTTACCGGGCATCATACTTTGCATTTTTTATCCTAACAGAGCAGCATTGTTTGACTCTGTATTAGGTGAAGGATACTATGTTTTCCATAAATTATCTTACATTTATTTTTCACAGTATTTCAATGAGGTAAGAATATTATCTCCATATTACATATGAAGAAACCGATCTTCAATGATGTTAAGTTGCCTAAAATCATATAGCTAATTAGCTGCAGAGCTGAGGGTTGCTTCTCTACTTAGATGATTTTTCAAAACAGGAACATTACAATTAATAGACTTTAATTGTCTTCTAAAGGGATGGGAATAGTCCTGTCGAGTGCTGTTTACCAGAATGAAACCTGAGAAATTTGACCCCTCCTGCCCAAACAATTTTGGAACATACTTCCCAAGTGAAAAGCACTCTGCCCGCAAAGGACTTGGGAGGCTAGGCAGGCAGTAGCTTTGCCCTCCAGGAGCCTGCGGCTTGAACAGTAGAGATCGGACAAACACACAGTAACCATGTTCCGACATGGGCAGGACCTCACGGGAGGCGGAGACCGAACACAATGGGAGTCCAAAGACCAGATCTGACTCAACTTTGTACCTCCCACTGGCATCAACATTTTTTAGATGAGTAAAACAAAATGGCAAAAGCTTTGAAAACCAGGTTAAGATTCTTACTGTTTTTTCTGGATGAATAAAGAAAAGATGCCAAAGCTTTGCAAGTGTTTGAAAAGGACAAGGCAAGAGAAAAGGAGATAGAATGGTAGGGAAGATAGCATGGAGATAACAGCTGCTGGTCGAATTTTAGAAGCAACAAAGATAATAGAAAATAGTCTGTACTTGTTTGCTTTCTGAAGGAGATACTCAGAGTGGCCCATTGCTGGTGAGCAGTAGGTGGCAGCCTTAATGTCTCCTACAGTAATTCTAAAGCATGACTTTTTGAGATGGGAAACTGTAGCCTTGGAGAAAAGGCCATGATATTTGGAAACTAGAAACTGAAGGTGTTAACAATATGACCTACAATAGCCATTGCTATTTTTTTTCATTCAGCTAACAAATAGCAACTTAAATGTATCTAATTTTTTGCTCTTGATCCTTTATATTTCAAAGTAAGGATTCTAAGTATGGTGGTAAAGACGGAATGAAGTTTTGAGTTCTTAGTTCTCAACCATAAGTTCTGTTTATCTTAACATGGGGAGAGAACATGTTGTTTCAGATAGCGTTATTTATGTGCTTCAAATTTGGGTTGACATAATTAAATTCAGATATGTGCGTGTGTGTATAAATATATCTGAATTCTCTATCTAAATATATCAATTAACTTTATATATAGATAGCTTTGGGGAGTTTATTGATTCTAAGTTCATAACATCCAAGTTAGTGCTATGAATTCTTTAACTTGCCTTACATGAAAGTTTTCCACTTGAAAAAGCTGGCATTTTACACACTTCTCTGTACAAAAGCCACTTTACCAGTGATGTTCACAGCCTTTAGAACATGGCCAATCCTTACAATAGCTTCAGTGATGAGTGATTCAACCTTGACTATTTATTTCATTGAATTCTGTCTTGATTTCACATAGAAAAAAATTCCTTCCATGTTGAGGTCTTTGCTGACAGCAGCGTCACACCGGTGTGGACTTACTATTCATGTCACCAGTCCTCTCTGCCTTGGTTATTCTGGATGAGGCTTGAGGATGGGATTCCAAGTTCTTACCAGTCAAAACCCATTGTACCCTGTGAATACCACTAGCATCAGGACAAATCTCTAATTGCATAGGCCCTGCAGCTTATACAGTTCAGGGTGCTATTTTTTAAGAAGCAATGCACACAAATATCTTCATTTTGTAATCTACAAAAGCTCACATATTGCTAAGAACCTTCTTTCTCAGAATGACTGGTGAACGTGAAAGCTTTGGCTTCATAAACTTGCCTCTGGTCAGCACTTGCTGTATTTCCTTCAAAATGCCTTTTCCTATTTCTCTTGTTCTTACTTCAAGTCCTTGGGTGACGGAGGCCACGTCTTTTGAATCTGTGTATATTTAAGATGTTAAAAAAATGCTTGTTACACTGAACTGAACTGAGAAGTGCATGAGGGACTGGCAGCCTTGATATTCTCACACCTTGTCGTGCAGAAACTAGGTCAAAAGATCCTTTGTAATGTGAGGAAATCCTTGCTCATTAGCCTTACAGTGTTTCTTTTCTTGACAAATTAGGGAGTGATTTTTTTCTGTGAAGTGTCATGGGTAAAAATATGACAGCGATTATTGTCATAGCAGTGGTTAACATGAATGCAGAAGCCAAACTGTAAGCATGTAATTGTTTTACATATAAGAGGTAACTGTTAGTTGACCCGTGCTGGTGAACTATTTTGAGGAACAAAGCAGAAAGGAAAGAAGGAAGTGATTTACAAAGAGCTGGACTTCGTTCATGTATAGTCACCTTTATTTAGAGCCTGAAAACCTAGTGGATTCCTGGAGACTAGAGCAACTAATCCAGGTCACAGCAGGTACGCACCTATGCTGCATGTAAAGGGCTTTACCTCCCAACAGGTTTGGTAAGTTGATTTAATTTTCTGGACCTTTTGTATTTTGATCCATGGAAGGTAACCTGGATTACCTAGAAGTTTT